CGTAATCATGAAATCCGTCTGTATTTGGAGAAGTGAACCCCTCGAGAAGAGGTCGACTCATCTAAAATCTACAGGATCATAGCCCCACGCAGCTAATAGTCATTTAAAGCACTCTGCAGTTGTCGAATGAGCGTCCCGTTCTCCTCGGCAGTCCCGACAGTGATTCTCAAACATCCATAACATCCAGCTTCCTTCCCCCTGAACCTTACTACAACTCCTTTGTTCTCGGCGAGCTCCGTATAAACCGCGTTTGCCCGAGCGTTGTCAGGAAGTCTGGTTTCTTTATTGAGGATGGGGACCACCAAGAAGTTTGCATCATTGCCGCCGATAATGTCTCCTACACCGAGGGCAGAAAGACTTTCGAGAGACTTCTGCAGCTGTTTCCGTGACTCTACGAGCGTTTGACATTTTAACCGCATGTTTTGAACTGCCTCCTTGCTTAGCGCAGCAAGCGCTAACTGAGCGGACGGAGTAGAAATGTTATACGGGGCTTTTGTATTTGTGAGAACTTGAATCAATGGCGGCTGTGCAAGGGCGATACCGAGCCTAAAGGAAATTCAATGATTCAATACATGTACCAATGAAGAAGTACTCACCTAATCCGCAGCAAGTCCAAAGCTCTTGCTCAAAGTTTGCATTACACATAGATTTGCATAGTCTTTTATTAGGGATACAGCGCTGGTACCCTCGCCGGCGAAGTCGATATATGCTTCATCGACGACGACAATCCCTTTGAATGGTTCATAGTCTAATATCGCTTCGATAGCTGCCAGACTGATCAGAGTACCCGTAGGGTTTCCTGGCGAGCAGAGAAAAATAAGCTTGATAGAAGGATCGGCCAAGATGGCCGCTTTGATCTGCAAGTCGTTGGCCACTTGAGAGACCATGCAAAATGTAACACTCACATTATCAATCAGCAAGCTGAATCGACCGTGCTCCCCACCCTCTCCCTCGCTGCCACCCAATTCGAGGTTACAACGAACTATCCCGATATCATTCACTTGTGCGCAAATAGAATACATGCCATAAGTGGGCGGGGTGATTAGAATCTTCTCGTTTACGGGTACAACGCAAATTCGCATCAAGAGATCAATGACCTCGTCAGATCCGACGCCCAGGAAGACATGGTCCTTCCCAGGTAGCGATCTGAGAGATGCGATGCGAGATTTTATCCCGTCATGAGAGGGATCAGGGTATCGGTTCAAGTTTGCGTCTAGTGTCGATGAAAGCTCCTGCTGGATCTGGTTGGATGATCTTGGTATAGAGTGTCCGAGAGCATTTTCATTTGCATCGAGGAGGATTCCCTCTTGGTAGTCATCGCGTGCACATCGGTAAGGATGGAGAGCAAGGATATTTGGCCGAATGACTTTTTCGATGTCAAAATGCGCAGGTGTTATTGGAGCGGTAGAGGGGGCCAGCCCAAGGATCGCCATGGTTAAAAGGTGATATGGAAAGATAAGTGCGCTAAAGAAAAATCTACGCTGTGGACACAACTGACCGAGTCATTCTGGAGGTTCGGCAAGATCGAACATAGTATACGTAAATTATTCATTTCGTAAAGTCCGTGTCCACGCGCATAAATATTCAAATTGAGTAAACTTTCTTACATGAACGAAGCACAGTACATAGTTAATCTAAAAGGCACTACCCTCCATACTTTGACCAAGCCATCATCGCCAGCAGTGGCTAACAAATCTGAATGATTTAGGCGAGGGCACCATGAGACAGAATTGATGTCGTTGACATCGTGAGCGCCAGACATTCTCGCGAGCAGTCTCGCAGTCAGAGGATCCTTGGTATGCTGCGTTTCCTAGAAGAGCTTGTGAGCCTCGATACACCAGGAAATGAGCGTGAAACATACAGTTATTTCCCAGACATTGATTTTACCATCACCACCAGTAGTTGCGAGCCATCCAAGATTCTCGCTCGTGCCCTTCCCAACTCCCCAGCTGATCGAGTAGATACTCCTTTCATGTCCTCTCAGCTCTAATACAGATTTCCATTTATGCTCCTCTACTCTTTTCCATATCCTGATAGTAAGATCATCAGAGGACGAGGCGAGATAACTACCTTGCGGCGACCAAGAAAGGGACCAAACGGTAGACTTGTGACCAGAGAGGGTCGAGAAACAATACCAGTCTTCCGAAGGATCGTCTATGTAGAGCTTAATGGTATCGTCATACGAACCAGATGCAAGTATCTGTCCTGGATACCTGTCAGTCATGCACATTATTCCGATGGCAGGAATTTGACCTCTTCGGAAGGGTGCCATGCAACGCATTTCACGTCTTGGCTATGTTCCATGAGTACGCCCATACACTCAAAATCCGCATCGGGTTGAACTGATTGGATCGAATCATTCAGCAATGTAGTAAGGGAAAAGCAATAGATACTCACCCTCCCATATCCACACAGTTTTATCTCTGCTACAACTTGCTAGCAGCGTTCCTGAACTCGAATACCCAACGCTCTTACACTCCGTTTCATGGCCTTCTAGCAATGTCACACACTCCCAATCCCCCGCAGTCTCCCCAGGATCCTCGGAGTCCGAGACATCCTCTCGTTCCCATACACTAACATTCGAATCAAATGATCCGGCGGCGAGCGTTTTGCCTGATGGTGCCCATGCGATACTGCGTACGGTTTTCGTATGCCCTGTTGGAATAGTGCCTACGTGTGAAAAGGCCAGTGATTTACTTCCGTGATCAGATGGCCGATAGCTGTATGTTCGCACAGATTTGTCTGCGGAACATGACGCTAGCAGAGGCTTGGTGGGATTCCATGCGACCTGCCAGGCACGTTCGTCGTGCCCTGCGGTAAAACGTCGGTCAGTAAAATGAATATCGCAGTTCTATATTGGAGCTACCTGGAAGATCAGAAATGAGTTCAAGTCTGCAGGGTAGGTCGACGTCCATCTCTCCGATTGACTTGCTGACACATCCCTGGACCCATGTCTTTAGCTTACATAATAAGTGTGCTATTTGACGTGTGTTCACTTCATGATGTTCACTCAAGTCTACGTCAACTTGATAGATCAACGCGACACGTTGGGCAGAGTACTTCAGTCTTTGGGTCTTCAGCTGCCATCCTTCCCCGCGGGTCTCATACACTAAAAAAGTGGCCCGTCGTCTGACAACACTGAAGTAGAGCATCACGATTCACACCTCTGGCCCCGGCTCAGCCTGAGACCTTTGGTCTACCCCGAGCCAACTCCCGACAACGAAGCGATGTTTTGCCGCTCGCATGATATTCACGTGATCGCGTCGATTTTTATCCCAGTACTCCAAGCTTCAGGAGTCTGGAGTACCCGCAGGCCAATACTTTCCTCTACTAGGTCGTGGACTACTCACTGTCACCACGATTTAGAGATGAGGCTATTCACCATAGCATTCAACAAGTACTTGCATGCAGGACTGGCACAGACACAAACTTCGGCTACAACTGAGAACGCATCATGCGTGTCTGTTCCTGCCGAAGCATTTTACACAGCATATTTTTAACGTCCTAGCTCATACATAAGACGGTCGTTTTATCTGATGAACCGCTCAAAAATTTCATGCTTTTTTCTCGTGAAATGGCCACCAATTTTTTGTATTCCTTTGTTGTTGCGGTCAGCACCATGACGGTCGCCGTCAACGCTCAGACATTTGCGCCGCTCCAGTTTGCAGGCGTGAATATTGCAGGTTTTGGTGAGTACCATACTTGTACCGCTACTCGTCATGGCCAAACTCATGCTCCACAGACTTCGGTTGTGGTACAGATGGCACTTGCATTATCTCGGAGGTTGTCCCCCCTGTCTACCAACTATCCGGTAGGGTTTATCTTGGAGAACCCTCACACATTCTGATATATATACCTTATAGGTGTTGATGGTTTGGGCCAAATGCAACATTTTGTCAAAGATGACGGCTACAATGTGTTCCGTCTCCCTGTTGGCTGGCAATACCTCACATATAATCAGTCGACTAGTGTCTTGAACGAAACTCAGTTTTCCAACTATAACATGCTAGTGTCCGACTGTCTGAGCACTGGTGCTCACTGTGAGATCGATATTCACAATTATGCTAGGTACGATGGGGAGGTTAGTGGCCGTGTTTCTGTCATTGCAAACGATACTCAAATCGATAATAGATTATCGGTCAAGGCGGTCCCAGCAACGAGGTCTTCGCTGAGCTCTGGTATAATATTGCCTCATACTGGCAGAACGAAACGAACGTCATCTTTGGGGTGTATGTAATCGCCACTGCATTTATGGATCGCTGACTTTATTAACAATCAGTATGAACGAACCTCATGATATCCCGGTGAGTCTCTCGAAAAAAAACTTTGAAAGACCATACTGAGTTTGCTGAACCTAGAATATCACCACTTGGGCAGAGTCCGGTATGTAATCTCTTGATGGATGTTTTATGTTTTCCCCCCTGACGATATGGTTTTACGATTACAGTTCAGGCATGTGCTCATCGTTCACAGGCCTCAGATGATACTGATATTTCTGGGAAATAAGTATGCGGTTACGGCCATTCGGTCAGTATGTTTGGCTATCTGTGTCTTAATCGAAGTTCATAACTTCGCCATTCAGGGAAGCTGGTGCTACCACCCAGATGATTCTCCTCCCCGGAAACAACTATACTTCGGCGGAGACTTTTGTTTCCAGTGGGTCTGCTGAGGCCCTTGGCATGGTACGAAATCCTGACGGCACATTCACCAACCTTATTATGGACGTCCACAAATACCTCGACTACGACAACTCGTTGGTGTAATTTTTCCTTGCCAATGCCCACGCTAATACCACTTAGCGGCACCCACGCTCCTTGCGTGACCAACAACATTGAAGACTCATGGTACCCTCTGAGCACCTGGCTCCGTGCAAACGGTCGGCAGGCCCTCAACACTGAGACTGGTGGTGGAAACGTAGACTCTTGTGTTGGCTATATATCGCAGCAGATTGGCTACCAGGCTGCTCAATCTGATGGTACGTTTTCACCCATTACCTTGCCCTGCCACAAGTGACAAGTCGACTGGTATACTTTGCAGTCATCCTTGGCTACCTTGGCTGGTCGGCTGGTTCCTTCGCCACAGACTATGTTTTGTCTGAGGTGCCCTACTACAATGGCACCGGCTGGAATGACACACTGTTGGTCTCGATGGCCATGTCGCCGATGACCAACATGCTCGTTGCATCCGTGTTATAAAATTGATTGATGTAGGACATTTTACCTAGATACACTTCCTGTAATAATGACCTGGCTTAAGCCATTTACTGTCCCCATGCCAGCGTAAAGTGATTGATTGATGATTCTTATAGCAATTAACTCCGCGATCATTTTTCCTACTAATTTACATCCTGCGGCGATGTCTATGATGCGGATCGTCAAATAAAGTTTCTAATCTAATCAATGTAAGTACCGAGCACTGGGCAGGCTGACCCCAGCTTATTTGCTTACATAAGTACCTGCCCCAGCAACGCGGCCCGGGCAGCCCCAATACTTAGCGTTCACTCGCGAGCCCATACGACGGATCCAAATTCACGCTGCGCGAGGTCCAGCGAAGTCAGATATTCGTGCTTGCCCAACAGGCACAACTTGAAGGTAGGGCTGTCGTATTGGATACCACCTAGAATCTCATATCCTTTCTTGAATTCAGTCTCAGGCGCAAAACCAACACCTGGTGGTTTCAACTCCAGGGTTGCGCCTCTGCAAGACATATATGATATTCCCCGCTCAGTTTTTGTCTCCATGGGAGCGTCCATGGTGGCGCTAGCGACCTCGTCTTGACCAGAGAGCAATATACATCTTAATAAAGACAGCAATATCGACAAACAAGCGGCGCTGTCGTAGATGATCGATCACTATAGCGGACCGACCATTCACCGAAAGTACAATATCGCCAACATTTACTCAAGTTGTCGTTCTGCAGTGATCCTCAGCCCGGATCTGAACTGTACGCTGGGCACAACCACCGCCGACACACGGAATTTTCCAATTTATCTCTATGGTAAGTGTCGTGGCTGATATCGGAGGGATACAACTTGATCGGAGCCCCACACAGAATTGCGTGCAGAGACTATCCAGTCAGACGAGTAGCCACACGGAGCCAGCTCAGCTGTTAATAATTGGCCAGAGCCCACTACCCCAGCGTGTAAAGCTTAAGTAAATGTTCACTATGATCGCAAGCATTATATTCACGTGATGGTATTGATGTGCTCGTCTTTCATCGCAGTAGTCTTAGGGACCGCTGGCAAATATCTGTTCTCTCTCTTAAGCCATGACTGCCGTCGTCATTATTTAGAGATGAGTCTTCTCATTACCATGGGGTCAGTATATTTTCATGATTTAGAGATGTTTCTTGTCATCACCATAGGCGAAATCCGATCACGACTGAAACCACATGCGTGTCTGTTCCTAGCAAAGCTTTCTACACGCCATAATTAACCTTTCAACTCATGCATAAAAGACAGCCATATTATCGGATGAGCACTCAGTGGATCCCCTGTTCTTTTCGCGTGAAATGGCCATCAAGTTTCTGTATTCCTTTATCGCTGCTGCTGTCAGCACCACAGCAGTCCTCGTCAACGCCAAGGCATCTGCGCCGCTCCGGTTCGCAGGTGTGAATATTGCAGGCTTTGGTGAGTGCCATACTATCACCGTTACTTGTCATGTCTAGACTCCTGTTCCACAGACTTCGGTTGTGGTACAGATGGCACTTGCGTTGCTTCAGGCGCTGTTCCCCCTATTCACAAACTATCCGGTAGGGTTTATCTTGGAGTGCTTTCTCACCACTCTAACATTCCCACTAGGTATTGATGGCTTGGGCCAAATGCAACATTTTGTCAAAGACGGCTACAATGTGTTCCGTCTCCCTGTTGGTTGGCAGTATCTCACTAATGACAAGATGACTGGCGTCTTGGATGCGACTCAGTTTGCCAAATATAACACGCTGGTGTCCGACTGTCTGAGCACTGGTGCTTACTGTGAGATTGATATCCACAATTACGCCAGGTACAATGGCCAGGTTAGCGACTGTGCTTCTGTCATTGCCAACGATACTTAATCCGATAATAGATCATCGGTCAAGGCGGTCCAAGCAACAAAATCTTCGCTGAGCTCTGGTCCAACATTGCCTCACACTGGAAAAACGAGACGAAAGTCATCTTTGGAGTGTATGTGATGGCTGCTGCAAGTAGAGACTGCTGACTTATTGACAATCAGCATGAACGAACCTCATGATATCCCGGTGAGTCTCGGAAAAAAACTTCAAGAGATCATACTGAGATTGCTGAACCTAGAATATCACCGCTTGGGCGGCGTCCGGTATGATATCTCTTGTTGATGTTTTCTGTTTTAACCTCTGACAATATGGTTTCATGGTTACAGTTCAGGTATGCGTCCCTTGTTCGCAGGCTTCAAATGATACTAAAAATTCTTGGGAACTAGAGTGCAGTGACAGCCATCCGGTCAGTGGCATGTTCGACAATTTTGCGGGGTGTATTAATTAAAAAATGTATTCGGTGTCCAGGAAAGCTGGCGCTAAAACTCAGATGATTCTCCTCCCCGGGACAGACTATACTTCTGCGAAGACTTTCGTATCCAGTGGTTCTGCTGATGCCCTTGCCAAGGTGAAGAACCCCGACGGCACATTCACCAACCTCATCATGGACGTCCACAGGTATCTCGACTACGACGGCTCGTCAGTAAAATAATCCTTTTGTCTATGCCTATGCTAATATCACTCAGTGGCACCAACGCTGAGTGCGTGACCAACGGCATTGATGACTCATGGACCCCTCTGGCCACCTGGCTCCGTGCAAACGGTCGGAAGGCCTTCAATACGGAGACTGGCGGTGGGAACGTAGAATCTTGTGTGAAATATGTATCGCAGGAGATCGCCTACCAGGCTTCTCAATCTGATGGTACGTGTTTTACACCTTACTGTGCCTTGACACAAATCGATGTCCTATCTGTAGTTATCCTCGGCTACATTGGGTGGGCGGCTGGCTCGTTCGCCACAAACTATGTGCTTTCTCAGGTGCCTTCCTACAGCGGCACCGGCTGGAATGACACGCTCTTGGTCTCGATGGCCATGTCGCCCAAAATTAATAAGCTCATTGCAACCGTAGCATAAAATTGGTGTGGAGTATTTTACGGCCTAGACTATGGAAAGCCTAACGTCCGTGCTCTCAAATCAGTGTCACGCATCCATTTAAGGGCATAGGACCCTGTACACCGCTGGAGATACGTTTTATCGCCCCACGCTGATGTGGTTCGGAATGCAAACAAGTGTGCGTCTGAATTGTACAAGAAATCTAACTAGTATACTGAGATGAATGAGACAATTACCATTCGTCTGCGGAACCATCATCATCTTCACAATCTGAGAACTCCGAGACAACTAAGCCAGCATCATCCAGTTCAAAGACTTCCTCCACTCCTGTCAATTCCGGTTCATCATCACGTTCAAAACTGTCCAATTGACGATGGTGTTCGGTATCTGAAAAATGTCATGTTTCCAACATGGAGCATGATAAACGGCAACTTACCCATGCCGAGTCCTCCATTCACACCCCCCATATAATATGCGTCGTTGGATGGAGGTAAGTCCTTGTAATTGTCCAAAAGCGGGACAACTTCTTCATCTTCGCTGCTGTCTAGGAGCTCAATCTGTGGTGGCAGCTCATCAGCGTGCTGCAATAGGTCCAACAGCTGGAGATAAATATCCCAAGCTGATTGTCGTGTAACTGCTGGGCGACCCAGTTGATCATAGAGTTGCGCAATGTATTCCCCAAATGCCTGAGGGACCAGATCAAATACTTGATGTGAAGGCTTGATGTAGGCACTTCGTACATGGCCTAGGGCCTCTCGTTCGAGTTTGATCTGTACATGGGATTGCTATTAGAATACTGTTGACAGTAGTGATGCATTAGTACGAACCTTGAAATCTAAGGCCCCAAAGTCTTCAGCTGCCTCGTAGATGAGATTGGGGACGCCATGTGGGAGAATCTGGATGAAAACATAAATGACGTGAGATTCAATAATACAATGGTATTACAGAAAACGTACCTTATTGCGGTCACGCCGTTTTGCAGAGTTGTTGATGCGATCTCGATAAGCATTTAGCTCCTGCTGGAGCCACGGAATAAAGACCCAACGGAAAACTAGTCTGAAATGAATATTTGAGCTGCTAATGATGAGACAAAGCCCGAAAACATGACTTACACTTGAACAGTGTTGTTAGTATTATACCAGCCTGTGTTGACGCCGTGATCCAGTAGACTTTCGAAGCCTGGGGTGAAACGACGCCGCAGTTGAGACCAGGTGATCTCCGGCATGACATTCTTCTTGTTGCGCATCCAGCGATGTTGGAGCGTGCCGTGCAAATCCGGGTCATGCCATTGTCGTAACATCGTGTGAGCATTGGCAATGCCAAAGTTTTCAGAACCTGGGTCACTTTGTGTGACCATAGGCATATCTATGAAATGAGTCAGGCTCATGGGTGTCATGAATAATATGTATTAACTTACGGCCAAGTTCTTCAATTGTGTCAAGATAATAGCTAAGAATCAACTGTGGATTTCTGTTAGAATGCCAGACTCTGATCCACATAATGCGGCCAGAGAATGGTTCAATACCCGTGTGCAGCCCCAGACCAAACTTGAGCCATTTATCATGCTGGTCGACTGCAAACAAATCATTTACACCCGCGGCCCAGAATCGCCTTCTTCGAAGGCGACGTGCCTTACGCTCGCGGACAAGGCCAGGTTCAAACCTAGCAAAATATGATACTAGGACACTCCTAAGATGAAAAAGAGTCAGCGAACTGATGCAGTACAGTCAGCACAGATATCACCTAGCCACGCTCATATCCTTCTCATGAAACAGCAAACTTGCCATTTCACGTGCACCCGCATTTGGATAGATTGCACGTAACTCGATCATTGCATTGCGAATCGACTCAACAGTATGAGCTTGCTGGCGGGTCCGGTGAAGGCCCATTGCTTGGCGGATTTCGAGAAATTTGGTACGTCTAGTGTTCAACATTACATTATGGGTGAGGAATAATAACCCTGTGACTTACCCGATGCCATAGCGACTTGTGTCGATGTGCTTCTGCAGCTCAAGGACAATCTGACGGTCTGTCTGGCGTGCTTTCCACATGCGCAGAATATGTGGTGCAATTAGCTCCAGCGGAGCTGCATGAAGATCAGAACACTGGGAGGAAAGTTATAGTGAAAGCTCACGAGTGGGTTTCCATTGGTTCGGCATGGAATAATCACAATGGCTGTGTAGGTGTTGATATTTATAATCTGACTGAGCTGCAGGACTCATATTGAATGAGTGGTGTTCTGCTTGCCAGGAACACCGATCGGTGATAGCACATCATCATCCTTACGTACCTTTACGTGTTGATGGGCTATGCAGCTGGTAGCTGATGGCCTTGCGTACTTTTACATGTTGATATCCTTGCGTACCTTTACGTGTTGATGGGCTATGCAACTGGCAGCCAGTGATAATGACTCAAATTGGTTTGTAAGAGGTACGCAAACAGTGATACTCATCCTCTGATAGGTCTTGCTCAGTTTGAGTTCACCACGCAGCTGCCAATCCTCATGCTCAAACTGTTAAGTGGGTAAGTCATTTGCTGGACTGGCAAACACTCCGACTCGCATATCATCCCCCTTTGTCTTGCCCATCTGTAGAGAATCGCATACTCGGACCGGGGACTGGGTAAGTCATTTACTTCAAATCCAGAATTGCCTCCTTGACTAACACCAACTTCACGCTCAAACTGTTAAGTGGGTAAGTCATTTGCTGGACTGGCAAACACTCCGACTCGCATATCATCCCCCTTTGTCTTGCCCATCTGTAGAGAATCACATACTCGGACCGGGGACTGGGTAAGTCATTTACTTCAAATCCAGAATTGCCTCCTTGACTAACACCAACTTCACGCTCAAACTGTTAAGTGGGTAAGTCATTTGCTGGACTGGCAAACACTCCGACTCGCATATCATCCCCCTTTGTCTTGCCCATCTGTAGAGAGTCGCATACTCGGACCGGGGACTGGGAAATTCAGGCTTGTTCCAAGTAGCCCTATCAAGTAAGTACACCTAGCTTGCCATCATTTCTTTCCAAGGCTCGTGGGCTGATGTGCAGCCACTTCTAGCTCCTCAATAAGAGTGTTAAGCAAGATTCACAGTTACATTCTGGCGACTCATGTCATCCGCAAACCTCCCGATGTGTTCTCCACATGTGTTACAGTCATGTATGACCTTGTTCCGGCGCTCATGTATGACCTTGTAAACCTCCTGATGACATATATATTGAAGGTGATGAATTGGCAGCAGATTATTACAGACCATGATGGCAGAGTACGAGATCATTTCTCAATTCACCGAGGACGCCTATGCCAAAGAGGATCGCATCTGTGACCGTCCTGTTTGCAGGGCCAAGATCAGGAAAGGTGACCCATGTTTCTATGTGGCTACCATCGAGCCAGGACAACCTGGGCGTAATGTGTGTGCCCCCTGCTACTCGCATTACAAGAAGAACCCAGCGACCTCAGTGAGACCCACCCGCCGAACCGAGCAGCTGCGTCCATTTGCCAGTGCACAGGGTTCAAATAACGACCGGGTCGCTCCTGATATGCGTGCAATTCAACAGTCGGTGAATGCAGCACAACGGAAATGTGAGTATATTATACGTTCGGAGTCCCTCTGCTAATTCACACAACAACAGTAACGATCAACCCTCCACCTGTGGTGGCAATGCCTCGTCGCACTGCAGGGCCAGACATCATGATACCTACATCATGGCAAGGCTCGTCATGGCAAGGCTCATCACAGTCAACTGGTCCACCATGGCCTGGGCAAGGTTAGATGATTCTCTCTTGTTTAGTGCGTTGTGACCCTTCCACTCATCTCTGATTCTGTCAGGTTCATCAAACGGTCCAATTGGATACTCATCTCAACACGCACTATATGCTACTGAGCGTGAACGCTGGGCCAAGATATCTTATGCCACACCTCCGGCAGAGACCATCTTAATCGAAATTAGTGCAGTTCATGAAGGTGGAGGTCGCAAAAAACGCGGGGTTCCCATTGGGGTATGTATGCGCTATATTATTGAACTTGGTGGTGACTGACATCTTTGCTTAGAATATATGTGAGGGAAAGAAGGGCATTGATGCACAGATTGATGCGCCAGGGCTGATTGAGCTCGCATTGGACACTATTGTGCCCAAGTTGCAGATTTTTGGTGGTGGATTTCTCTGGCGGGTGAATGAGTTTATAGTGCGAGATTCTGCATGGGTGGATCTTTCCAATCACCGACGGTCGGTTGCTTACTTCTACGATCAATGTCAGCAGCTGTCCCGCAAAGGCTCAAAGACAACAACATTCAAATCAAGACAGTTCGCACTAATGGTCATTGTTCCTGAGACTCAGTGGATTGAATATGAGAACTGGCGGGAAGATGCTGAAATGGTATGTGTTTACCTCACCTGTTTGCCAAACTAACATTATTTCACTATTTAGAATGCTGCTCGTATTGGTCAACGTCCTGCTTGCAAAGTTATCACCCCCCAAGTCCCCTCTTCAGTACAATCCTCAGTGGACTTGGAGAGTGAGCTTGGTACAGCGCAAACCAATGATGGTGCCACCACCTCTGACAACGTCCGAAGCAATATTTTGCCTACGACCACTGTCACTACCTCCACCAAGCGATCCCATCAACACACTCACAGCTCTAGCAGCTTTGATATTCCGTCTCCTCCTCGAAAGAGAGATGTCGCACCTGCAGCTCTCTGTTCTCCTGATCGTGACCGACTGAAGGAAGTTTTGAGGATTGGCGGAGGCACTAACTTAGACATGAAGCAAGGTATGTTCATTATACTTATGGCGCTAGCAGCAGGACTTATTTGACTTTTAGTCTTTGGGCGACAGAGTGAGAGGATCCACTTCTACCTAGTCCCTTCTCGCCCCATAACAGACCTCTTACTGGACAAGTACCATTCCTTTTCCGTGGACACTGCTGAGTGGTCCATGGGTGAGCTGATTGTCGATACATCACCTCAAGGCCTGATTGGAGTCGGAGGCTTCAAAACTGCTCACACAGGATGGCTCACGCTGATGGCCCCGCCAAAGATAGGCCCCGGTTCTGTTGCGCACGATAAGATTGTTGTTAAACGACCCTACCATAAGGTATTCGCGACACCCACCACCACGACGGGACCATACAAGATTGCCCGTTATTCACTCGTTGATGAACTATCCAGGCTCTTCAAGGAGGCCAACGTTTTGTACTGGGCGAAGTCCTTGTTAAAGCTAACCTACGACTTCATTGATCGTTGTGTTGCATCTTCATCTGAACCACCCCCATTCCCAATTCCACGAGTTCGTTTTGTAGAAGGTGGGCTCGCACTGGCTTATTTTCAGGGTGATAGAAAACCTGGAGGCAAGACTGGGTCCACACGTGCCGTCTTTCTTCTCGAAGAGTTCATCGACAGCGATGGAGAAGACTTCGTCAAATTCATTCACAATATGGACGCCAACCCTTTGATTGATTATGACAAGTACGGCTATGACTTGGCGGTGTTCTTTTCATTCACGCAGCACATACAATATGCCAAGACCGGTAAATTGGCATTTATATCTGATTATCAAGGTGCGTGAACAATGTACCAGTGTGCGCTCTGAGACTGACACAATACCTTTAAAATTAGGGAGTACAACGCTGCTGACGGACCCTCAAATCCTGACACATCCGTGAGTTGCTTGAGTGTTGGGCTTCTTATGTTGATCTGACACATCAGATAGATCCGTCAGTGATGGCCACCTTGATATTTTCGGGGATGGAAACATCGAGACGACTGTGAGTCAGTTTGAGAAGGAGCATATTTGCAACAAGTACTGCAAATGGCCGGCATTTGGGCTAGAGGTTTATACGAGTGGGGAAGAAGAAGATGAGCTAGAGGCTTGCGCAGATGGAGAAGATGGGCCAGAGGCTTATGCAGATGGTGAAGAAGAACGTGAAAATTAGAAATTTCTTCTTGGAACTGGGACTTGATACTTTCTTCTTGGAAACAAACACGTAGCCGTCGTATATGTCTCGCTTGATATCAATACTCAGTACTGTGATATGGTAGTTATAGCGTGAAACGATTGATTGGTTTTGGTGGTTACATGGCGCGAAGGTGGCTGTGCCATGGAAGATCACACCACCAAAATTGAGGTTTCGACATTTGCCCGATAACAAAAGTAAGACCAAGTATAGTAAACTGGAGTTGTGTACATCGATATGCACACATCGACGTCAAGCCATTGAAAAGCATTGCGATGTGATAGTCCGATCAAAACGTCGTACTGGTACAAAACTTCAACAAGTACAAATAGAAAACGGATCCGTTTATATGTGATTGCTGAATAAACAAAAAAAAGATGGCGGGTGCACGGTGTCCCAATTATGTGACTGCCTTATTTGGAGCATGTCACATCAAGTAACAGAGCACGGACGTTAGGCTTTCCATACTAGACATTTTCTGTAATGGTGACCGGGTTTAAGGAACGTCTGAGACGTCATCCTGTTTAATATTCCCCGTGTTAGTGTGATGTGATTGATTAATGATTAATTAATAGTTCTGCATTGTTCAACGTTCAAGCTTAAGTTCAGCTGCTGGTATTCTCTTTACATCTTGCGTCTGAAATACGCACCATTCTAAATCACACATTCTCAATGTGATCAATGCAATACGTCGACTGCAGACATGTTCAGAACACTCAAACCACTGGATGTTGGACACAAAGCGCTGAGGTCTACACACCTACCTCTCCCTACGATTTGGGAGAACCGTGTCTGACTTCCTTCCGTCCATTGCACTTGGCCATTTTATTGTTCTATCATCAGAAACGTGCGATAGTCTCGAAAATGTCATTCGCCGACTGATCGGCTTTGGCTCTTGCGTAGCTGACTCTTATTGACAGGATACATGGCGAACAAGACCAACATTGTCACGAACTACTCTCATTATTTGAAGGCCATCGTGTTGTCCTACGGCATCCTCCTGGACGGCTGGCCGACGAGCATTCCATTCACATCTCTTTGGAACATCCATATCGTCTCCGATATGTGAGCCCTTTGCAACGCGTTATAAGTGGGCACCTGTGCGTGGAAGACCCTGTCAAGGTCAGAGCTCGACAACTACAAGACAGATGTAGAAAGGCGACAGGTAGCAGACGAAGTCATTGGCAAACCTCGTAAGAAGCGCTCGGATGCAAGCACGTCACAAAAACGCAAGAACACAGAAAGGGGACTCGAAGGCAAAGAAAATGAATTTCCGGCTAGAAGTCCAGGCAGCGAAGGCGTGCATCAGAAAGGCAGTGTAAGAGCCCGAGATTACCGAAGATAGTGATGAAGGGCAATCTACTGATGATGACGAAGACTAGGGTCATCTCTATGTTCTACTAGTGTTTAGACCTTATGCCAATGCAATACGAGTTACTCATTGTTTAAATGTCTGATTTCGCCTCTATTGGCTGTAATGTTCTGAAGTGAGAACGGGCTGCTCGTCGTTGGGCCCAGCGAGCGCGATATGCGGGCTATTGCTACCGACGGGCGGTAGCATTATTAGTAGATACGGCGGGTCTTGCCAAAATGTCACGCGCTCACTGCACCTAGTGATTTCTCACAAGTCCCAGGCAGTGAACCTAGCTTGGAGATACTACAACCCCTTCGTCTTAGTAATATGGAGGTATCAAGGGTTACGTGGGAGTCACAGGTGCCTCGTCTCGACCAGAGAGCAATGTGCATCTTAACAAAGATAGCAATATCGATGTAGTATATCACCATAGCGGACCGACCACTCACCGAAAGTACAACAACGACAACGTGTACTCGCGTTGTCATTCTGTCGTAGTCACGGCTACCTGAAGTGAAAACAGGTGTCAAATTCTTTTACCTCAAATATGCGTGCCAAGACCTAAAAGCCATGGGAGAAGCCAGTGCCCTGCAAATAATGTCCGCAGAAGGTCCCAAAAACTAGAGATGCACATGCTACCTCAGCCAAACCTGACATCAGAACAGGTACCAGCATGAACCGATACTGCCCTGAACACGACCTGATCCCCAAAGACGGCTTCTAATAATGCATAAAGTAGTTCCGAGGCTCATGCATTATGCGTCCAGATATCACCTGCATCCCCCCACCAAAAGTTGATGCGATATGCATTATGAACAAGTGTAAATGCCGTAGGTCCGTGCGCCATATCGGGGGAATTTACAACTTTATCAGTGCCCCATCATGATGCAGAATTGCGTGGAGTCGATGAAGTCGAAACGCGGAACTTGAAGCTTGAATTAATGGGATTAGCTGACCGAAGCAAAAGATAGCGCGAGGTAACGTTTTGGCAAGACCGCCGGAAAAAAACCGACTAGCCAGGCTTAGTCAGCACATACAGCCATCCACCACACCAGAGTCCACTATCCCAGCCTTTGAAGCATAAGCAAACATATTCACTATGATGGAAAGCATAGAACCTACAGATATTCACGTGGTTGCGTTGATCTACTCGTATTTCATCGCGGTAGTCTTGGAGACCGCTGGCAAACTTTGTCTGTTTTTTCTTACGCCCTGACTAGTCTGCTGCTGTCATTATTCAGAGTCTTAGAGATGAGTCTTCTCATTACCATGGGGTCAGCATATTTTCATGCGTTAGAGATGACTCTTCTCATCACCATAGGGTCTCATAGGGTCAACTCAGTATCTTCGTGATCTGGAGATCCCGTCACCATGATAGCATTGCCGCCGCGGCTAGGGTCAGCTCAAAATTGCATAGTTTCATGCAGAACTCGCGCGAACTTCGGTCACGGCTGAGAATAATCATGCGTATCTGTTCCTGCCAAAGCTTTCATAATTAATGTTTCAATTCATACATAAAGACAACCACATTATCGGATGAACACTCACTAGATTTCCTGTTTCTTTTCACTGCGTGAAATGGCCATCAAGCTTTTACATTCCTTTGTCGCTGCCGTTCTCAGCACCACAACAGTCCTTGTTAACGCACAGACATCTGCGCCGCTCCAGTTCGCAGGTGTGAATATTGCAGGTTTTGGTGAGTGCAATACTACCACCGTTACTTGTCATGCCTAGACACCTGTTCCAGATTTCGGTTGTAGCACAGATGGCACTTGCAGTGCTTCAGGTGCTATTCCCCCTATTCAACAATTATCCGGTATGGTTTATTTTGGAGCGCTTTCTCACAACTCTAACATACCCGTTAGGTATTGATGGCGTGGGCCAAATGCAACACTTTTTCGATGACGGCTACAATGTGTTCCGTCTTCCTGTTGGTTGGCAGTATCTCACCAATGACCAAATGACTGGTGTCTTGGATGAGACTCAGTTTGCCAACTATAACACGCTGGTGTCCGACTGTCTGAACATTGGCGCTTACTGTATAATTGATATCCACAATTACGCCAGGTACAATGGGCAGGTCAGTGACCGTATTTATGTTATCGTCAACAATGCTTAATCTGATAATAGGTTATCGGTCAAGGCGGTCCAAGCAACGAAGTCTTCGCTGAGCTCTGGTCCAATATTGCCTCGTACTGGAAGAACGAGACGAAAGTCATCTTTGGGGTGTATGTGATGGCCGTTACAAGTATGGACTACTGACTTATTGACAATCAGCATGAACGAACCTCATGATATCCCGGTGAGTTTCTCGAAAAAATCTTCAAGAGACCATGCTGAGATTGCCGAAACCTAGAATATCAGCACTTGGGCAGAGTCCGGTATGATATCTCTTGATGGACGTTCTTTTTTTTGACCTCTGACAATATGCTTTTACGATTACAGTTCAGGTATGTGCTCCTTGTTCGCAGGTTCAAGATGATACTGAGAACTCTTGGGAACTAGAGTGCAGTTACAGCCATTCGGTCAGCATGTTCGACTATTTCTGCGGAGTATCTTAATTAATATTCTGTTTTCAGGGAAGCTGGCGCTAGCACTCAGATGATTCTCCTCCCTGGGACAGACTATACTTCTGCGAAGAATTTTGTATCCAGTGGTTCTGCTGATGCCCTTGGCGAGGTGAAGAACCCTGACGGCACATTCACCAACCTCATTATGGACGTCCACAGGTACCTCGACTCCGATGGCTCGTCAGTAAAATCGTTCCCTTATCTATGTCTCCGCTAATATCACTTAGTGGCACCAACGCTGAGTGCGTGACCAACGGCATCGATGACTCATGGACCCCTCTGGCCACCTGGCTCCGTGCAAACGGTCGGAAGGCCCTCAATACGGAGATTGGTGGTGGGAACGTAGAATCTTGCGTTAGCTACGTATCGCAGGCGATCAGCTACCAAGCTTCTCAATCTGATGGTACGTGTTTCACTCCTTACTGTGCCCTGACACAAATCGACATGTCTTATCTGTAGTTATCCTCGGCTACATTGGGTGGGCGGCTGGCTCCTTCGCCACAAGCTATGTGCTTTCTCAGGTGCCTTCATATAGCGGAAACGGCTGGAATGACACGCTCTTGGTCTCGATGACCATGTCGCCCAAAACTAATAAGTTCGTTGTAACTGTAGCATGAGGGCGTAGAGTGTTTTACCTAGACACTTTCTGTCGTAATGACCGGGTTTGAGGAATGTCTGGAACGTCACCCGTTTACTATCCCCATGCCAATGTGAAGTGATTAATTGATAATTTGTCAACAGTTCTGCATGCTCATTGTTTAGCTACAGTATTCTTTTTACTACATCCTCCGTCTGTGATACGCACCGGCTATCAACTAAGTCACACATTTTTCAATTTGATCAAGGTAATACATCAACTGTAGGCATCGAACACTCAAACGATTGGATGTTAGACACAAAGCGTCGAGGGCCAGATACCTACTTCTCCCCACGACTGGGGAGAACCATGTCTGACTTCCTTCCGGTCGTCGCATCTTGTTTCATTATCCGGCACATGCGTTGTGCCAGTTTCAATGTCAGATCGTATTGACCCTTAGGTTAGTTCCATTCGTACCTCCTTCTGCCCTGATCTTACGCTTTAGCTGCTTCAAGTCATGATCCGTATTGTAGCCTTTGACGGGCATCGTTATTTATCTGCTATCACTGATCAGCTACTCGATTGGTTCTATATATTTGTGCTAAGATATGCCCTATGAGATATACTGCGAGAAACTTGAGTTGTTTGATTCATAGGAATCAATGTCTGCAAACTATAGACTCCGGATCCCATGAGGAGTTTGTGACTATTATTATAATGTGGCAACATTGTAGCTATATACACTGGGGGAAAAAAGAGATTATACGAAATGAGAATGTGGCGCGAACCTCGAGATTCGCACCAAATGTTTGTGACATTCTAATCAGGTTACGAAGAAATGAATATGCGAAGAGAATGATCACATATTTACTATATATTTATCGTATTCTGATCATGTTCTGGAGGACATTCTCATTTGTTATAATCTCGAAGGTCCGTTTGACCACAGCGGGTGCACGCGCATATATACATGCAGCTTTATTCAGATTGTATGATATTGGATAAGCGCTAGCTGCGCACGCACGAACTCACAAAGTGAATGTCATTAATAGATAGTTCTACATGTACATATGTACTACACAGGCTACAGCTCGACCAGCGCGATATCCTCCGGCCTCAAGCCAACACCCATGTCCGACGCACCATATGCGGCAACTAATAGTACTACGTACGTAGCTAACACCCATAATCGACAACGTCGATGTTAACATTGTGGTGTGAAGACAAGGAGGGACACGTACTAGGGTAAAGGGTTTTAACTTTAAATTCCGCATTCAAGTCCAGCTGCACATAAGAACATGGTGAGAATGGCATGAGGATATGAGAATATGTACCATATTATCATTTCGCGGTTATGTAGTTAAAATGTAGTGATAATCTAAGTAGAATCTAAAGTTCGTGTGACATTTCCACCGGTCCATAATCTCTTTTTTTCCCCAGTGATAGCATCCTGGCCACCAATTGCAAGGGATGTTAGCATCCCGTCGAACACTGTCATTTTGATTTTTCTCCTATTTATATTTGGTAATTTATAGTAAGCTACTACGTCAAGCACCCAACATGTCGGAAATGTAGTAAGACTAATTACGAGTCTAAAGTTCGGACCGTCTAATTCACGCTGAATAGCCAGTGAGGCCTTGAGGTGCCGACCTCGGACCCATGAATGTGCCATGGCAGAACCTACTCCGCTAACAAACGTATTCCCGACTCCCACGATAAGTGGGGTAGGGTTCTGTCCGCAGCAAACATGCTGATGATCTGTGAGCCGGCTGACTGCAAAAATAAAAGGCATTTCCGAATGTAAAACACCAATCCATTACCGACCTTGGTACGAGAATGGGACG